CGGAAGTAATTTTGCCATTCATTGTAGTCATTGCAATCTGTAGAGTTATCTCGAGTTTTCTTGTGTCAGTTAACTTGTGACATTCCTGGATTACTCATTATATTAATAAAGTCAGATTTAATCAACAAATACAATAGTCAGTAGAAAAAAGGTTAAGGGTACAATACTGTGTACATACTGTATCTGGCCTTGTTGGCAAAATCAGTACATATCCCATTGAGCCAAGCAGGGAGAGGCTGCCCGTTGTCACAGTTCCAACTCCAGTCAGAAATGTCCAGGTAAGCCTATGCCAATGATGCCGGTGGATCTCAAAACTGAATTTGAATCCGCGTTAAGTAGCAATGATATCCTTCACCACCGTCGTCTTACGACAGATATCTTGAAACAGTCATGACTATTTAACAAAACAATAATACAATACATAATTTTCAAGTTTCTTTCCAGCAAATGTCTTAGTTACATGATTGTATAACTAGCAAATGAGTTTTGAAGTTGAGGGTGCAGTATTTATAAAGTTTGGCAATGAGGACAAAAACTAGCATTTTTCAGCTAGCCAGCTGGTTTAGCCAGGGAAAAATGTGGAAAACGAGCTCGGGCCTAGTGCACATGTGCGCCAGCTGGGTGCACTAGGCTAATTCAGGAGACAGATTGTAGTTTTACGCCGTGATATCAGGAGCTGGCAGTGAAAAGTTTGATTAAACAATTCAGAGAGTGAAATTAATCAATCAAATTACATATTTAAGGAGAGCAAATCGATATACAATCCCGAAATCAGCTGCAACTGTCAATAGTGAAACAAAGCTTAAAACAATGTTTGAGTGAACCCTGAATACAGATAATGAATTCCGAACACGGTAGACTCCTCCTCCTCACCACTCCATAGGCAATATGGCCATCCAATGCTTGCTCGAATGTGCCTTCCACCAAAACAGCAACTTAACAGCAACTGTCGGGTCAAAGCATTTCGGTGGGGGATGGGCAGTGCTGGCTATGTACAGTATACAGTGCATTCGGAAAGTATTCAGACTCCTTGACTTTTTCCACATTTTGTTAAGTTACAGCCTTATTCTAAAATTGATCACATTTGGTTTTTTCCTCATCAACCTACACGTAATACCCCATAATGACAAAGCAAAAACAGGTTTTTAGAAATTTTTGCAAATGTATTAAAAATAAAAAACAGTATACATAAGTATTAAGTATTAAGACCCTTTGCTATGAGACTCGAAATTGAGCTCAGGTGCATCCTGTTTCCATTGATCATCCTTGTGATGTTTCTACAACTGTGGTAAATTCAATTGATTGGATATGATTTGGAAAGGCACACACCTGTCTATATAAGGTCTACAGTTGACAGTGCATGTCAGAGCAAAAACCAAGCCATGAGGTCGAAGGAATTGTCCGTAGTGCTCCGAGACAGGATTGTGTCAAGGCACAGATCTGGGGAAGGGTACCAAAACATTTCTGCAGCATTGAAGGTCCCCAAGAACACAGCGGCCTCCATCATTCTTAAATGGAAGAAGTATTGGAACACCAAGACTCTTCCTAGAGCTGGCTGCCCGGCCAACCTGAGCAATCGGGGGAGAAGGGCCTTGGTCAGGGAGGTGATCAATAACCTGATGGTCACTCTGACAGAGCTCCAGAGTTCATCTGTGGAGATGGGAGATACTTCCAGAAGGACAACCATCTCTGCAGCACTCCACCAATCAGGCCTTTATGGTGGAGTGGCCAGACGGAAGCCACTCCTCAGTAAAAGGCACATGAGAGTCCACTTGGAGTTTGCCAAAAGGCACCTAAAGGACTCTCAGACCATGAGAAACAATAATCTCTGGTCTGATGAAACTAAGATTTAACTCTTTGGCCTGAATGCCAACCGTCACGTCTGGAGGAAACCTTGCACCATCCCTACCGTAAAGCATGGTGGTGGCAGCAGCATGCTGTGGGGATGTTTTTCAGCGGCAGGGACTGGGAGACTAGTCAGGATCGAGGGCAAAATGAACGGAGCAAACTACAGAGAGATCCTTGATGAAAACCTGCTCCAGATAGCTCAGGCGCTCAGACTTGGGCGACGGTTCACCTTCCAACAGGACAATGACCCTAAGCACACAGCCAAGACAACGCAGGAGTGGCTTCAGGACAAGTCACTGAATGTCCTTGAGTGGCCCAGCCAGAGCCCGGACATGAACCTGATCGAACATCTCTAGAGAGACCTGAAAATAGCTGTGCAGCCATCCAACCTGACAGAGCTTGAGAGGGTCTGCAGAGAAGAATGGATGAAACTCCCCAAATACTGGTGTGCCACGCTTGTAGCGTCATACCCAAGAAGACTCAAAGCTGTAATCGCTGCCAAAGGTGATTCAACAAAGTACTGAGTAAAGGGTCTGAATACATATGTAAATGTTATATTTCCGTTTTTTATTTGTAAAAAAAAACAGGAACTGTTTTTTAACCAATGGCTTATTGGTGGTTTATTGGACAAGGTATTGTTGTGATCAAACCGGATGTGCATGGGTTTCAACTTTTAAAGTTGGTAATTTTGTTTGTGTATTGGAAAAGCAGTTCTCAGAGTTGAGGTTCTCAGTTTTCGTGCGCTTTTGACATGTAGGTGTCAGGGAGACTGGGGAGTAGTGCACATCTAGTGATTTATGCCCTTGTGTTGGAGGGGAGAGAGGCTGATAAAGATCTCAACTGGAGATTTGGCTGGTTGAGCGCCTGTTTGTCTGTTTAAAAATAAAAGAATGCTTATTATTTAATTATTTAAAATATCAATAAAATCCCACCCAAGGGGCCACTAGAGGGCGCTTTTGGTCATTCGACTGCAGGAAAAGGATTTATACAATAGCTCATGATAAACTACTCAAACAATCCCTAGACAATATAAAGGTTCTTCAAAGGCATGGAGACATTCATAACAACCTCCTCTCTACCCTGCTCCATAACCTCCACTCAGTTTCAGTTGCGCACAATTTAGAAAGAAAACCCTCAGTACTGGGTCATTTGCCTTCATCTACTCCATTAATAAACTACAGTATCAGTACAATCCCTGAGTCAGAGAATAACTCAAACCCTCTGGCTACCATTTTTGGAGAATGTGGAAACATACATTAGGTATCGTGAATGTGGCCCATCTCCTGTACACATAAACACAAATAGACCCTAAAAGCATCAATCAAGCAGCTTTAGCAGTAATACTGTGCCTCCAATAGTGAATGCCTTTCCACTTGGTAGTTTTCCCAAGAATGAGCATGATGTCATTTACAGCAACCATAGAGCCCAAACTCCAATATAAACTGAGTATACCAAACATTAGGAACACCTTCATAATATTGAGTTGCCCTCAGAACAGCCTCAATTCGTCGGGGCATGGACTCTACAAGGTGTCGAAAGCGTTCTACAGGGGTACTGGAACATGTTGACTCCAATGCTTCCCACAGTTGTGCCAAGTTGGCTGGATGTCCTTTGGGTGGTGGACATTCTTGATACACACGGGAAAATATTGAGCGTAAAAAACCCAGCAGCATTGCAGTTCTTGACACAAACCGGTGCGCCTGGCACCTACAACTATACCCTATTCAAAGGCACTTAAATATTTTGTCTTGCCCATTCACCCTCTGAATGGCACACATACACAATCCATGTTTTGTATTTTTACCCCGTTTTCTCACAATTTTTATGTTCTCTCATCACTGCAACTCCCCAACGGGCTCGGGAATGGTGAAGGTCGAGTCATGCGTCCTCCGAAATATGACCCGCCAAACCGCGCTCCTTAACACCGCCCGCTTAACCCGGAAGCCAGCTGCACCAATGTATTGGAGGAAACACTGTTCAACTGACAACCGAAGTCAGCCTGCAGGCGCCCGGCTCGCCACAAGGAGTTACTAGAGCGCAATGAGCCAAGTAAAGCCCCCCCCGCCAAACCCTCCCCTAACCCGGACGACGCTGGGCCAGTTGTGCGCCGCCCAATGGGACACCCGGTCATGGCCGGTTGTGATAAAAATCCTTCTTTAACCTGTCTCCTCCCCTTCATCTACACTGATTGAAGTGGATTTAACAAGTGGCATCAATAAGGGATCATAGCGTTCACCTGGATTCACCTGGACAGTCTATGTCATGGAAAGAGCAGGCGTTCTTAATATTTTGTATACTCAGTGTACACATTCTACTAATCACATAAATGTAAACCTTTCAATAAAGAAGATAGACGAAAGGATCTGAAACAAAAGTAGCTCCGATGCATTGTCTTGATAGACATACAGAGCAGTATTCTATAGTGAAGCCATAATGACTTTATCAAGCCCACATCTCTTTAAAAAATAGATGGTATACGACTATGTATGACTTTATTCATAAGTTGGTTTATCACAGGCAGCTATAATTGTAAAGTTCATTGCCCCTAGGCTGACATGATATTGAACATTCTGTGTTTGTGTGTATTGTATTGTTTTGTATTGGTTTCAATTCTCACGAACACAATGGAAGACGTTGTGTTTTGCACTCTCAAACTGACATTTTTTTCCAACTCTGGGTTGTTGCATTGTGTTCGTGAGAATTGAAACCAATAAAAAAAACTGTGCTTGATAAAGTTGTTTTATTTTATTTGTATATGTAAATTGTATTGTTTTGTATGATTTGGCAAATGTAATAAAATTGTATTTAACATACACACACTGAAGAAGGTTGACACCGAAATGTCTGTGTGCACTATTGCACAGTATCACTGCTAAAAATGCTTGTTTGCTGCTTTTAGGGTCTATTTGTGTTAATGAGTACAGGAGATGGGCCACAGTCATGATACCTAGGTTAGCTAAGGTAATTAACTTTGTTAACCCATGGGACACCTGTATGGGTAAGTCCCAAATGGTTTTATGTTCTGACAAACAAAACACACATCCACACACACACACACACACACAATCTGCTTATTTTATGGATGTTTCATGACTCGCACATGACCTTCTGCCTGACCTTGTACCATTCTCTCAGTGAGAGAGAAAACATGGCCCTGAGAGGTGGAGTTGGATGAAAATAGGTGTGTATAAGAACTCATTGAATACGAGGGTGAGTCAGAGAGGACTGCTGAAGGAGAGCAAGCTGCTGCCGTTAGAACTGCATACGTTAGACCAACGTTAGAACAACATTAGAACCACGCGATGCAAGCCTACCTTCTGTTTTCCATCAGTCTGTGTCTGGCTGTTGGGAGCTTGGCAGAACGCCTTTCCACTTTGTAGTTTTCTCAAGAATGAGCATGATGTCATTTACAGCAACCATAGAGCCCAAACTCCAATATAAACTGAGTATACCAAACATTAGGAACACCTTCATAATATTGAGTTGCCCTCAGAACAGCCTCAATTCGTCGGGGCATGGACTCTACAAGGTGTCAAAAGCGTTCCACAGGGATGCTGGACCATGTTGACTCCAATGCTTCCCACAGTTGTGCCAAGTTGGCTGGATGTCCTTTGGGTGGTGGACATTCTTGATACACACGGGAAAATATTGAGCGTAAAAAACCCAGCAGCATTGCAGTTCTTGACACAAACCGGTGCGCCTGGCACCTACAACTATACCCTATTCAAAGGCACTTAAATATTTTGTCTTGCCCATTCACCCTTTGAATGGCACACATACACAATCCATGTCTCAATTGTCTCAAGGCTTAAAAATCCTTAGTTTTTCTTCTTTGTTTTGTATTTTTACCTGCTTTGTCTCCCAATGTTGATGTTGTCTCATCGCTGCAACTCCCCAACGGGCTCGGAAATGGCAAAGGTCGAGTCATTCGTCCTCCGAAACATGACCCGCCAAACCGCGCTCCTTAAAACCCGCCCGCTTAACCCGGAAGCCAGCTGCACCAATGTGTTGGAGGAAACACCGTTCAACTGACGACCGAAGTCAGCCTGCAGGCGCCAGGCTCGCCACAAGGAGTCGCTAGAGTGCGATGAGCCAAGTAAAGCCCCCCCGGCCAAACCCTCCCCTAACCCGGGCGACGCTGGGCCAATTGTGTGCCGTCCTATGGGACACCCGGTCATGGCCGGTTGTGATAAAAATCCTTCTTTAACCTGTCTCCTCCCCTTCATCTACACTGATTGAAGTGGATTTAACAAGTGGCATCAATAAGGGATCATAGCTTTCACCTGGATTCACCTGGACAGTCTATGTCAAGGAAAGAGCAGGTGTTCTTAATATTTTGTATACTCAGTGTACACATTCTACTAATCACAGAAATGTAAACCTTTCAATAAAGAAGGTAGACGAAAGGATCTGAAACAAGAGTAGCTCCGATGCATTGTCTTGATAGACATACAGAGCAGTATTCTATAGTGAAGCCATAATGACTTTATCAAGCCCACATCTCTTTAAAAAATAGATGGTATACGACTATGTATGACTTTATTCATAAGTTGGTTTATCACAGGCAGCTATAATTGTAAAGTTCATTGCCCCTAGGCTGACATGATATTGAACATTCTGTGTTTTTGTGTATTGTATTGTATTGTTTTGTATTGGTTTCAATTCTCACGAACACAATGAAAGACGTTGTGTTTTGCATTCTCAAACTGACATTTTTTTCCAACTCTGGGTTGTTGCATTGTGTTCGTGAGTATTGAAACCAATAAAAAAAACTGTGCTTGATGAAGTTGTTTTATTTTATTTGTATATGTAAATTGTATTGTTTTGTATGATTTGGCAAATGTAATACAATTGTATTTAACACACTGAAGAAGGTTGACACCGAAATGTCTGTGTGCACTATTGCACAGTATCACTGCTAAAAATGCTTGTTTGCTGCTTTTAGGGTCTATTTGTGTTAATGAGTACAGGAGATGGGCCACAGTCATGATACCTAGGTTAGCTAAGGTAATTAACTTTGTTAACCCATGGGACACCTGTATGGGTAAGTCCCAAATGGTTTTATGTTCTGACAAACAAAACACACATCCACACACACACACACACAGTCTGCTTATTTTATGGATGTTTCATGACTCGCACATGACCTTCTGCCTGACCTTGTACCATTCTCTCAGTGAGAGAGAAAACATGGCCCTGAGAGGTGGAGTTGGATTAAATAGGTGTGTATAAGAACTCATTGAATACGAGGGTGAGTCAGAGAGGACTGCTGAAGGAGAGCAAGCTGCTGCCGTTAGAACTGCATACGTTAGACCAACGTTAGACCAACGTTAGAACCACACGATGCAAGCCTACCTTCTGTTTTCCATCAGCCTGTGTCTGGCTGTTGGGAGCTTGGCAGAACGACCTCATCCATGTAGTAAGTGAGAAAAACGTAAATTCCTTATTGATATACTTTTAGAATAACCAACTAAATGCACCGCCACGTGTTAAAATCAAATTACACTAAACATATTGTCTATAGCCTAGACATGTTAATAGCCTGAGGAATGCCAGATTGCGTCTCTATTTGGAAAATCGTTTTCTACCTGTTTGTAGTACTGAATGAATATGACTAATTTATGTTTTTCACATTAAAGAATCACCACCTTTGTTCGAGGGTAGTATGGCACTGGTAAGTCTTAAAAATATATATATCAAGCCCACCAGAGAAATCTTTACATATTGTCTTTGTTAACAAACCACTACCTTTGCTACCTGTGAAAGGATAGTTGTAATGAGTTTTTATGGCACCCAAAACCATTCTGTGATTTTATTTGGCTATATAAATAAGAGGTACTGTGTATATACTGCAGTATGGTTTAATTTAATTGAGATGAGCACTAAGTGATCTCCTGATATTGTAACTTTCATGTTCAAATGAAATAGGCATGCTTCTCTTTATAAATAATCCCTGAATGGTATCATGTGTGTATTTTCTATCACACATTCAAACAGACGATCCTCAAGGAGAAAACTTTTGGTGTTGAGAAATTCTCCTATGATGCTTTTGAAGAGAGGGTCCACATCCGACTTCTTCTGGACCAGGACAACCACACCACCTACAGAGACACCCTTCTTCTCTATAAAGAGGTTTGAACTTACAGATGCATATTCTATACATTATCATTGTTATTCAGGGGGTTTAACTTTATGATGATAAAAACCATTCTGACTTGTGTCTACTCTTGTTCATCTTCTCAGGGTATAGCTTATCAAATCTTCCGCCATAACCAAACCTGTGAGAAGGTCCACTTTAAGGATCCTTGGAAGCCAATGGAGATCCCCAGGGATGCCAAGTTCCAGTCACAGGTGGTCATTGGGAGCCTCTCCGCTCCTGCAGAAGGGCTGCTGGTCAACAACTGGTCAGGAACAATGGCAGAGCCTCATGGTGAGTGAGTGACGAATACTCCAGAAAAACTCTGACTAACTACTGATTATTATTTATATTCACAGCTAAACTCCCTTAGCATGAGTGACTTATGAAATGTAATCAAGACCTTGGCATAAATCAATCGGTATGCTGTTCACATAGCTAGTGATTTGTATAATCTTTGCACATTTTATTATAATGTCCATGCACACTCCTTACAGATGATTACCTCCTCACTTTCACCGAGTTTGGTTGCCTGCCCGTTCATGCCTGGTGGTACAACATTGAGCGCCAAAGCCTTCTAAGGTAAGTGGTACACAATCTCAATTTTAGGCAGTATTGTTTGATTTAAACTCATTCAACATTAACCTTGTTAGATACTTCCTTATGCGTTATTGCAGTTGTAAATCCTGAAACAGTTGTCATATACAGTATCTCATGAAGGGACTATGGCAGGGTTCTTCAATTCCGGTCCTGGAGGGCCGAAACACTTCTGTTTTTTATTTCTACCTGGTAGTTAATTGCACTCACCTGGTGTCCCAGGTCTGAATTAGCCCCTGATTAGAAGGAGAGGATGAAAAACAGAGGTGTTTCGGCCCTCCAGGACCGGAATTGAAGAACCCTGGACTATGGTCTTGTTTGAGAAACACTGCATTGAGAAAGAGCCAATGTCTGAATACTTTTAGCCTGACGGGGGCTTTTATGTTACTGTCTGTTTCATCTCTAGTCTGAGTTTCTTTGACATGGTGCTTGGAGTTGAGGACCCTGAAGTTTTCAACCCTCCTTCTTTCTGTGACAAAGCAGAGCCGGACAACGATGGAGCACTGACAAGTTTCGTTGATACCCTCATTTGAGTTAATAGTGACGCATCAAAGCATTTTCCACTTCCTACTCTACTATGATCATTTAAAGTAATTACTTCATAAACTATATTAAACTATTGTTAACGCAAACATTGGACTCCTGTCTGTTTTAACCTGATGACATTGGACTCCTGTCTGTTTTAACCTGTTGACATTGGCGATGAAGAAATACAAGATGGACATTTTTTTTAGGGGTAACAGAGGAGCACAACTCTGTAGATGTATTCTCAAACTTTCAAATCCACAGACTCAAGATTTATTTAAATCAAAAAGGTACACTAACAAATGAAACCGAGCCAAATTAAAGCTAACACCTAAACTCAATAATAAACGGACTTCGCACATAGGCTCAATAATTGGGCAAAAGATCGGAATTGGGCTGCTTGTGTAGACAGCCATAAAAGGTGTAAAAAATAAGTTATAATGGACTGTATAGTGTTCATTTATTTTGCAGCGTGTTGTTGTAACAGGAGCTATTGGCCAACAGATGGTGGTATTGATCATTTTAGAATGAAATCATAATTTACATGACCACTAGATGCATTTTGGATGCAAGTGGCATCAATAAACATGTAGCCTATAGAAAAAGTGTCACCTAGATTGAAATATACCCATTTGAAGAAGATCAGTGCTTAAGTACATTCTTACTAGCCTGGGTACCGGCCTCTTTAGCTAACATTCCACACAGGTCATTTGCAGGAGTAGCAAGGGGTGGAATGTTATCTGTAAAGACCGGTACACAGGCTACTTTCTTACCACATCATAACCCAAAAAGAACATTCTTTGCAGGAATGTGAAATTTGTATATATTAAACTTCAAAAGTATGCATAGTAAATAAGACAGAACCTGCTGTGCACTGTTGGTGACCACTGACGTTAGACAGCTCTTATAGCTTATTTATCTCTAGGCTATTTAGTGAGTGGTGTTGGCATCATTGAGAGGCACTTGACAAACAGGCACATTTGAGACTAGAACATTTAAAGTTTAATTATGTTTTATTATTGTAACATACTCCTTGTTCAATTAAAATTCACAATTCTTGAGATGTTGTGCAGCCGTTTTATTGGCAGACAGTTCTCCAAAGGGTTGGAGAGTAAAATAGGAGTGAGGAGAGTAAACTGGAGATGGAGAGGTAGTTCATGGAGGTTGGGGATTTGTTCCACGGAGTTCTTGAAGTAATGATGGTCTCAGGAGGGTCTTTCATAAGCAGAGAATGTACAGGACATCCGAGTCAAATGTTAAGTCAATCTTTCTTCTTGTAGTCCTCAATGTTGGCGAGAATCCAACCGGAAGGTCCAAGGATAGCCAGTGCGAACAGTCCCAGTCCGATGATGGTCTCCTACAGATAGAAAGGAAGGTAGAGTAAACATAACTAGGTTATTCCTGGCATGGTGCCATGTTGAGGGTGTTGCGTAATGTTACAGAATGAGAATGTTCAAACGTGTAGAACAGATGATTACTTCTCAATGTCATGTGGTCTTTGGCTTAGCTCCTAAAACCCTCACAAACTTTTACAGATGCACAATGGAGAGCTTCCTGTCGGGCTGTATCACCGCCTGGTATGGCAACTGCACCGCCCACAACCGCAGGGCTCTCCAGAGGGTGGTGCGGTCTGCCGAACGCATTACCGGGGGCAAACTACCCGCCCTCCAAGACACCTACAGCACCCGATGTCACAGGAAGGCCAAAAAGATCATCAAGGACATCAACCACCGAGCCACTGCCTGTTCACCCCGCTATCATCCAGAAGGAGAGGTCAGTACAGGTGCATCATAGCTGGGACCGAGAGAATGAAAGAAGCTTCTATCTTAAGGCCATCAGACTGTTACAGTGAGGGAAAAAAGTATTTGATCCCCTGCTGATTTTGTACGTTTGCCCACTGACAAAGAAATGATCAGTCTAATTTTAATGGTAGGTTTATTTAACAGTGAGAGACAGATTAACAACAACAAAATTCAGAAAAACGCATGTCAAAAACATTATAAATTGATTTGCATTTTAATGAGGGAAATAAGTATTTGACCCCTCTGCAAAACATTACTTAGTACTTGGTGGCAAAACCCTTGTTGGCAATCACAGAGGTCAAACGTTTCTTGTAGTTGGCCACCAGGTTTGCACACATCTCAGGAGGGATTTTGTCCCACTCCTCTTTGCAGATCTTCTCCAAGTCATTAAGGTTGAGCCTGACGTTTGGCAACTCGAACCTTCAGCTCCAGTGATAGACAGCTTCTTCCTGAGCCACTCCTTTGTTGCCTTGGCTGTGTGTTTTGGGTCATTGTCATGCTGGAATACCCATACACGACCCATTTTCAATGCCCTGGCTGAGGGAAGGAGGTTCTCACCAAAGATTTGATGGTACATGGCCCCGTCCATCGTCCCTTTGATGCAGTGAAGTTGTCCTGTCCCCTTAGCAGAAAAACACGCCCAAAGCATAATGTTTCCATCTCCATGTTTGACGGTGGGGATGGTGTTCTTGGGGTCATAGGCAGCATTCCTCCTCCTCCAAACACAGCGAGTTGAGTTGATGCCAAAGAGCTCCATTTTGGTCTCATCTGACCACAACACTTTCACCCAGTTCTCCTCTGAATCATTCAGATGTTCATTGGCAAACTTCAGACGGCCCTGTATATGTGCTTTCTTGAGCAGGGGGACCTTGCGGGCGCTGCAGGATTTCAGTCCTTCACGGCGTAGTGTGCTACCAATTGTTTTCTTGGTGACTATGGTCCCAGCTGCCTTGAGATCATTGACAAGATCCTCCCGTGTAGTTCTGTGCTGATTCCTCACCATTCTCATGATCATTGCAACTCCACGAGGTGAGATATTGCATGGAGCCCCAGGCCGAGGGAGATTGACAGGTCTTTTGTGTTTCTTCCATTTGCGAATAATCACACCAACTGTTGTCACCTTCTCACCAAGCTGCTTGGCAATGGTCTTGTAGCCCATTCCAGCCTTGAGTAGGTTTACAATCTTGTCCCTGACATCCTTGGAGAGCTCTTTGGTCTTGGCCATGGTGGAGAGTTTGGAATCTGATTGATTGATTGCTTCTGTGGACAGGTGTCTTTTATACAGGTAACAAGCTGAGATTAGGAGCACTCCTTGTTATTCTGTCTATCACTGTTCAAATAAACCTACCATTAAAATTATAGACTGATCATTTCTTTGTCAGTGGGCAAACATACAAAATCAGCAGGGGATCAAATACTTTTTCCCCTCACTGTAAATAGCCATCACTAGCACAGTAGAGGCTGCTGCTGCCTATTGAAATCACTGGCCACTTTAAGAAATGGAACACTAGTCACTTTTAAAATGTTTACATATCTTGCACTACTCATCTCATATAATAATATAATAATATGCCATTTAGCAGACGCTTTTATCCAAAGCGACTTACAGTCATGTGGGCATACATTTTTACATATGGGTGGTCCCGGGGATCGAACCCACTACCCTGGCGTTACAAGCACCATGCTCTACCAGCTGAGCTATTCTATAATATTCTACTGTATCTTAGTCAATGCCACTCTGTCATTGCTTGTCCATATATATATATATTCTTAAATTCCATTCCTTACTAGATTTGTGTGTATATGTTGTGAAATTGTTAGATATTACTTGTTAGATATTACTGCACTGTCGGAGCTAGAAGCACAAGCATTTCCCTACACCTGATATAACATCTGCTAAACACGTGTATGTGACAAATAAAATATGATTTGGTCCAAGGAATCATGTCAGATGGAAAAGACTATATGGACACTCCTGACCTGCAAAACGATATTTAAGTGCAGCTATCTGGCTACATTTCTCTCTCTGTTCTGAGAATTTCAGCTCACTGGATAGACCCCTAACAAATGTATTTAGGTGCATAACTACAAATGCCCCCATCATGGAGATTCTCCCAATCACCGCACTGTCATGTTGCTGATGAATAAGTGACAGTGGTTAGTCATGTTAGCTAGCTACATAGCTAACACGACCTTGCAGATTATCGCACCAATAAACGCTATCAAATTATTATCATAGCTAATAACAATAATAAAATAACGTTTTACATTGATAGGAAAGTAGCTAACTTAGATGTATTTTGAAAAGGAAGAAACAAAACAGGAATAGGTCCGACATCCCGCGATCTGTCAGTGTGTCAGCTAGCTAGCTAACTAACTAGTTTACCAGTAGCTATGCATCCCAACATGGCTTATGCCTCAACAGCTACTAGCTTCTTGCCTGTATCACGATTAAAGATAAAGTTAGCTACTTACGGCAGAGCCGAGAGGGTCTTTAGCCGGTCTGGTGAAGACACTGGCCTTCTGGGTGATCACGGGTCCCCGTAGAGCCGGAGCAGTGCGGGTTGAAATAGTTCTGAGGAGCCCAGACATGACTGCTGAGTAGAGCAATGTTCTTTAATGGTCGGGAAGTGGGTTGCGGAGGTGATTGTCGTTACTAGTTACCACAGCCACAAAGTCATAATTATGGCTAAACCCCGCCTATTTCTACAATTTATCTTCTTAAAATCTGATTTTAAAACCTTAACCACACTGTTAACCAAATACCTAACCTTAAATTAAGACAAAAAAGCAACAAAATGAATTCATGAATTCTTACGACATAGCGAATTTCGACTTTGTGGGTGTGGTAACTAGTGACAACCGAGGTGATAGGCCAAGGTGGTGATTCTGCTATATCCCAAGGGCATTATGGCAGTTGTAGTTATCATACAAAACGACGACCGGGGTGCGGATGTCTTTTCAGAGATGATCAAATCAAATCAAAATGTATTTGCCACATGCGCCGAATAGAACAGGTGTAGACATTACAGTGAAATGCTTCCTTACAAGCCCTTAACCAACAATGCAGTTTAAGAAAAAAATTAAAACAGCAAATATTTAAAGAGCAGCAGTAAAATAAAATAACAGAAGGGAGGTTATATACAGGGGGTACCAGTATAGAGTCAATGTGCGGGGGCATCGGTTAGTCGAGGTAATATGTACATGTGTGTAGAGTTAAAGTGACTATGCATAAATAATAATAATAAACAGAGTAGCAGCAGCGTAAAAGAGGGGGGTGGGGGGGCAATCAAATATCCGTGATTAGCTGTTCAGGAGTCTTATGGCTTGATGGAACGGCAGTAGAGATGGCGTCACTTGAGGTGGCAAGAAAGAGAGGAAGAAGGGGTTGAAGAGAATGAGGGAGGCAGAGGTTGAATCTGAATCTGTTGAAGATTGCGGAAAAGAGGGAGGAGGTGTCGAAGAAGTTTGGTGTCAAGTGCAGGTGAAATGGAAGTGAATGAGCAGTGGCGACCCGTCATTCAGGGCAGGTGTTTTGAGCTCCACCTGTTTAGCAAAAAATATATAGATATATACACATTATTTGTAAATGTTTATTTTACCTGGTTTGTATGTTATTTTGGCATTAATACGTGTCACATCAGTTTGCAAACAATGTATAAAATAAAATAAAATAAAAACATTGAGTTAATAAAGCTGCATACGAACACGGTCCCTTTTTTTCTTTCTTGAGTAAGGCAGCTCCAAAATGAAGGTGTTTCAGCCTAGCTCAGTGCATTCTGTGGTGGTGGGGCAGCCAGCGGAAAATACGGAGCGTAGGTGTTGGTAATGTTCTCTAGATGCACCGTGATTGGCTCAGTGTTCTGTTACTCATGGGGACACTATGTCACCGCAAAAACTACAGGGAGAGCTTGAAAATTCAAGCCCCTTGGGTGCTGCCATAGAGTTACATTAGAAGTGCCCATCCAAGAAGGCCCAAGGTCATTGGCCACAGATAAAATGACGTCAAATCACGTTATATGTACCGTAGCTTTGATTGGACTGATCATGTCAACATCATACTTTCAAAATCTTAGCTAGCAAGCTAGCAGTCATCATCATGAATCAAGTCCACAATCTACTGGCAAATCCTTTTCAATCCTTTTCATATGAAGAGAAATTATAGATAAAACGTATCGGTGCTCATCGGCCATTGGGCATAAACATTACATAAAAGTTGGATATCGCAAATTCAACAATGAGTGGTTTGGAAGGAATCATTGGCTAACTGCAAGCATTGCAAAGCAATCACTAGCCTGCTATTCAGTGGAGTGGGTGTGTGGTCCAAGTTTTGGTCAAGGGTTAAAGGGTCTCTTTTCCAAGCTTAAAATGATAAACATTCAACATTGGCTTCTGCTGCGTTCGAAACAACTGGAAACTCGGAACTGGGAAATCTCAGACTTCAGTGAGTTCAAGACAACTGGGAACTGAAAAAAACTAGCTACGACTGGGAAAATACGTTTTGAACGGTCATCCAACTCTGAATTCCAAGTTGGGAACTCTGGCCTCTTTCTAGAGCTCCGACCTGAAGATCACTGACGTCATGATACAAACTTGTTTTTTTCAGAGTTCCCAGTTGTCGTGAAAGCACCATAAATCCAGAGAATGCCAAAATTTGCCACGAAGGACCGCCGTGCCACCTTCCTGTTCAAGTGAGCACAGCACAACAACGTGAGTCCAAAAATGTATTGTATGCTGCGGCATAAATTATGTAATATGCCAGGAATATATGTATACTGTAGCTAAGAAAGTAATACTAAGTGTATATTGTGTAGTAAGCTGTTAGTAGCCCATGTGCCTCACCGTAATAATTTGCTCCCTTTTCCCCTCATAATTTAGCCTACTGTTCTGACTTGGTGGTGCACATTTAGCCTATAGCCTGTTTTAGAGAAATGTCATCATTTAATATTGTAAGAGCTTTCATTGTCTGCTTATATGCCCCCTTTATTTATCCTACAGTTCTGACTTGGTGTACAGGGAGAATACTGTAAGAACGGCCCATGTTCTGAATTCTGTCGCTGTACATTTCAAAAGTGCTGAACAAATAATTATATTGACTACGTCCGTCCTAGCTCGCTCATTAATGTCTGACGGATGGCCTCTTATCCGCTCGTATTCCCCTTATGCCATAGTTTGTACATCTCAATTGTCAGTAGAATCCACATTTGTTTAAGCAAGTCAGCCATTTCAGCTATGTTTTTTTAAAAGGCAATAAATGAGGCTGAATGAACTGTTTCGCTGCCAGACAAGGTTCCGCTGATAGCCAGGTGTAGCAGTGGTAAGGTGTTGGGACTCTGCTGTTGGGACAGCTTTATGTAGGCCCTAACAGTTTGTGGGCACCGTTTGTCACCGCTATAGTGCAATTAATGTATTGTTTAGTATTGTGTTCTGTAGTGGCTTTGCTGGCATGCATCTACACGTTTTTGGGAGAGGTTGCCCCACCAAGATTTACATGCTAGAATCGCCACTGTGAATGAGGGTGAGTAAAGTGAGGTGGAGGTGTGGTGAAGAGCTCGGAGCCCGAGCCTGGCATCGATGGACATGATAAAGAAGAATCTGGCCCAGTAGGAGTGACATTTTTGGAGAAAGTGGATCCTTGCCTTTTGGCAAATCCATTTGTGGTTTCAGGGTGGGTGGGAAAGGAGTTGGGTGCAGTTGAATCAGTGAAGGTAACCTGTAGTGGACTTAAGATATGTGTTTGTGTTTCGTCTGCACAGAGGGAGCAGGCACTCTGTGTCACGCAACTTGGGTCAAGATCTCTTTCTTGCTTTGCGCTTAGGAATAGGGCACCATTGAAAGGAGTGATTTCTGGGGTAGCGTTAAGTGTGGAGATGGAGCAATTGAAGTTGAAGATTCCTGGTGTTTATGGCGTCTGCCGTTTGGTGTGACACTGACCCGGTGGTGAGCGTGGTGAAACCAAGGAGTCACTGTCAGTCCTTTTGAGTTTTGAGATGGAGTCTTTACCCAACAAAGTCATGTTACAATATATCAGTTATACTGTTAGAGCTTTTGTGCCGAATCCACTGCGGAATTTCAGGTGCAATGTTTATGGTCATGTTGCAGCAGTGTGTAGGAGGGAGATTCCAAGATGTGGGAAGTGTGCAGGAGGGCATGGAACAGAGGATTGTGTAGTTTCAGTGGATAAAGTTGTGTGTGTCAACTGTAGGGGTGCCCATGTTGCTGGGGATCGGAAGTGTCCGGAGCGAGAGAGACAGGTTGAGGTGGTCAGAGTAGTGCAGAAGAATGCACTCCCTGGCCATTGGCATGGTGCAGGAGCAGATAGGGTCAAAGTAGTGGAATGGGGTAGTGGGCTTTTAATGAGTGTAGCGTTAGTTGGAAGGGTGTATTATTATGTTTGTTTATTTTATTTCTCCTTATTTAAAAAAAAATAATAATAATTAGGGGGTAGATCAGCTTTAATATTTACGGACACAGTATATTTTACATTAGTTATCTTGCTATTTTTAGTCCCACCCTTCAACTCCACTCACCCCTCCCATCTATCTCTGATCACCATCCAGTTTTGATTTTGTATCACAAAGTATAATGGATTTATATTATAGTCCAGTTGGGGGTGGTAATGCAACATATTGGATGCCAACTGCCGTTAAACCCCGAAGAAGAATAATATATTTTCAACTATAGAGGCTAGTCACCGATAAGACAAGGAGTCAGATGTTTCACAAGATTCCCTAAAAACACTCCACATCGATACAGCTACGACTTTTTTGCAGCAGGTTAGGAGAACTTGCGTAGCAGGTTAGGAGAATAAATGTAGCAGGTTAGGAGAATTAGGTTAAGGCTAGGAAAATGCTCTCCAAACCTGCTACAAAAAGTCACTTGTATCGAAGTGGCATGTTTTTAGGAAGTCCCATACATAGAAATGGAATGAATAGAACGGGCATCCCCATTCAAGTCAATTATGGCATAATGGCATGGACTGGCAGCCATTTTGAGTGTGCCCATGCCTAGAAGTAAAAGCAGGAAGTGTACCCTTCAATCTGTGCTGTGATTTGTTGATTCAACTCAACTGACATTACAAAAAAATACATTCCATTGCATCAGTTAACATAATTTGAATGAACATTACCATGGCAATCCAGCATCAGTTGATAGGACATTTCAAATTACCATGGAAATGATTGCATTACAATACCAGGCAACCATTGTGAGTGTATCCTTGAGTTTACCAGTCAAATTGCCAGGGTTAGAGGTCACAGGAGGTTGGTGGCACCTTAATTGGGGAGTTCTATTCATTCTATTTCTATGGTCCCATATTTGGGACTCCCTAAACACACGCCACTTCGATACAAGTGACTTTTCGTAGTAGGTTAGGAGAGCATTTTTGCTAACCGAGCAAGCCCAGTGGTCGGCAATGGGAGAGCGAGATGGAACTGGGCCGACATTCTGCTGATTTTCTCCTCAAAGAAAAGTCTGATCTTAGTGCAGATTACTGTTCCCAAAACAATAATCTGATACTACAATTACAGACACAAACCCAATCTAGAGGGGGTCAGGAGACGGTAGAGTACAGTCCTACTACACAGGAAAAC